AGGAATGGATTCAAGGTCTTTCTGACCCCACTTCCCTACCTATGCTGCCCCTCATCCCTGTGACAGGGATGGGACTTTGTTCTACCCTCATCTGCCCAATCCTGGGGAGAACTGTGGCTATTCCACTACCATTTTTATTAGGGAAGAGGCAGGGGAGGGTGTTCTTTTGAAACTCGAGTCACGCACTGCAGTGCTGGCCAGGCTGATTTCTAGCCCTTGAAGCCTTTGCTCTACTTTTCTGCAACACGCCCCCCCCTCCCCGTGACATTTAAGCAAGTTTTCTGAGTCACCCCACCACACTTCTAGCTTTCCTCCTGCTCTTCTCCAGGGAAATGGGTAAAACTAAGTCACTCTTGCTACATCTTTCGCTTGCTGCTTCTTGTACCTTCTCCTGGCAGGCTAAGCCTATACTGGGACAGGTGGAGATGCAGCTGGAAATACACTGAATGGGAAAACCGGGTGTAAGGTTCACCTTCTGCATTTCTATACACCAGAGCTGGCCAAATATGTGTGTGTTCAACCATAGTTGAGACACACTAAATGAAATGTTTCTCAAGTTGTCTATGAACACAGATATCATCTATGCATGAAATCCTGCTTTCACTCTTTCTCCAGGAGTCCTTTCAAAGAACGTCCTAGTGGGCTCAGCAGAGCCAGCATCTTGTGATTCCTACTTGTGGTGGAGCCACGTGCTGACTGTGTCCTTCAGAGCCCCAAGCAGCAAACATCAAATCTTGGCAGCAATACCTAGAACTTCCTGTGCCAGTGACTTCCAGAAAACTCTAACACTAAGCAGCATTTACTGGGGGAGAACAACTCACTCCTGAGCCCTGAAGACTCCTGCCGGGCTTTGATGTTTGCACACCAGTGATTGCCCTCTGGGCTTTGGCAATCTGTTCTTGGAGGCTCCATTTGGGGACAGCTACTCTCCTAAATCTGCCAGGAGGCACATAATTGCCTTTCCAACCACAGCAACTTTAAATAGACTAAAAAAGACTTCTTCAGTTTTCTTTTTTTTAAAGAATTTATAATAATCTTAAAGACACTGGAGAAAGTGCTGTTTGTTCTATAAAAAGTGTGTAATTGACCAAAATGGGATGACTGACTAAAAGCGGTATTTGCATAATCGCTTGCCTATATCAATTAAATTTCAATTTTATGCATTTGTTAGGCCTTTAAACTTAAAATTATTTTGCTAATATCAGTGGCTCATTTTTAACACAATCTTTTTCCACTGCTCAAATTAATCCCTTTTCCTGCTTTACCCCACACACTCAGGAGGAGAAAGGATAAAGGGGTTGAGACAGACACACACACACACACACACACACACACACACACACACCCAACAAAAATGGTCAAACAAAAATGTACGTAGAGGTGGGTATAAAGGCTAGGTGGGATTGGGGAGGAAGAATAAGAAAAAGGGGGAGTGGGGCAAGATGGTCAGGAAGAGTCCAGGGAGCTTGGGGAAACAGCCCGCAAATTGTCTACATTCTGGTTAGAAGCAATCAAATTCTAAACATTGAAAAAAGATCAATATAGGCTGTTAGAATAGCTACAGAAGACAAATTCAGAAAAAAAAATCAAATGTGAGGAGTAAAGAGAATGAGGTGGAGCAGGACGGGAATGAAAGGACCAGAGGGCTGGAAGACAACTCACCGGCCTCATCTCCCGGGGCGTTCCTCCCTCGAAGGTGGAAAGGGACTAACTGCTACTCTCTCTTAACTATCTCGTAGGTCAGACTTCTGTGCTTGCTAAGCAGAGGACTTCTGGGCAGCTCTAGTTAGGGGAGCAAAGGTGATGGCTGCGGGCACTCAGCCCCTCCTCTGGGCAGTACTCACTGGAGCTCGGGCACAGATCCTGGCCAGGCATCTTTACGATAGAACCATTTGCTTGAATTCAAGCAAAATAAGGCTATTCTTAGAAATCCTTTAAGGCCAGTAGGGGATTATCTTAACTCAAATATAGATATGCTTGGGAAAATCAGCCTCCTAAACCCTTGCCTTAGTGCATCCCCATCTAGGAACGGGGAAAAAGCTCAGTGAGACTGACCACTATGAAGTGATAAGTCACCACAACCTGAGGATGTCCTGAGGTTGTGTCTTTTTTTTTTTTTTTTCGTTATGCGGG